CCCTACTTGCATCCCAATCCTGGTCACAGAACCATTCTTCCAGATGTTACTCCCTGCCCCCATCCCACCACCTTCTTTAAGAAGTATATAAGGAAGTTGCTGAATGAGACACAAGTTCTTCGTAGTCGTAAAAGTGATACAGCAAACGCGCTTTGAAGCTAGTGTGCAATTGGTGTCTGCAAAATTTGCATGCAATTATTTCAACAACACAGAATTCATCTTAAAAGTTTTAAGTAGGTAGTTTCTTTGTTTTGTTTTGTAACACCTGATAGAAACAATACAATAAGAGAGAGAAGCCTACAAGCCTCACAGTTCTCTACTCTTTGCCTTTTTTATTACAGAAGTGATGGGGAATCTACAGACCCAACTCCTATCTGCTCCTGCCAACATGGGCATAGAGTTTATAAAAACACAGAGCAATAAGCATGGGGTCAAGGATGATGGGAGTCATCACCAAACAGCATCAGGAAGGGCCACAGGTTCCTCACCCTGTATTATAGCCTTCTAGGAGTCCCTTGCACTAAAAAGTGTCTTACCCATCACTGTATCCTGCATCCCACTTGGCCAGAATTTTGATCTTATCACAACTTCTAACATGACATTATGTTTGGTGAGCATTCTACTCTGGCCTCTCAGCTTGGCTTGCTTAGTTTGGAATCTGTGTGTTTTCATGCATGATCTTCAGCGGTATTGACTCTTGTCGTGTATGCCTTGTTTGTTTTCCTTCTAAAATTATTAAAGATGAATGGAATGTAAGTGAAGGGTGGAAAGGGATCAAAATAAAGAACTGGAAAGGAGTTCCTCTGTATCAACACTACCAAAAAAACCACCCCATTGTCTAACTCTCTCATCTTGACTTTTCTTGTTACACTAGTTGTCTAAAATCTTGTCCCAAGTCCAACCAGGCTATATTCTAACCATGAACTTGCTTTTATAATCACCAACATATAATTCATTACAAAGCTAATGTTTTCCTTTCCTCAATCCTGAGAAATACAAACTAGGTTAGGTAGTGTTCTTTCACGAGGCTGACTGATGTTGGACAATGAAGACTTCTAAGATATACAGAACTCTTCATAGCCAATTCTTCTATTTTTAATAAAAGCAAAAGCGAAAACATTTGTCACTACAGAGTTTATAAAAGCACTGTACAATATGCACATTAATAACAATAAAGATGTCAAGCTGTCAGATAAGGAGCTAATTTCACTATGAGCACAATTAAAGATGTTATTATCCTACCACCTGGGGCCACGTCTGCTTTTACAGCCCAGCAGGCTCCAAGAGAAAAGAACGGACCAGAACCACAATGGTGCAATGGACTCATCTAACCGAACTCCAACTCCATTCTCCAGCCATTTCAACATATTATTTATTTTTGCCATTAGACTCATGTGCAGACAGACGCATGCACATTACATAGCTGGGATGAGTACCTGAAGCTTTGTGCATTAACAACAAGTTCCTTGCTACTGCCACTTCACAGCAGAGGAGATCCTGAACAAGTGGTCTATGTTTCTTTTTTATTCAGGATTAGCAAAATCGCTGGCATAGAAAAGGTTGGCAGTGGGGAAGGTAGTGAAAGATCTGGGTTCAATTTCATTTCTTCTTCTTCTTCTTCTTCTTCTTCTTCTTCTTCTTCTTCTTCTTCTTCTGTGATCACTTGTAGCTGAGTAAGATTGTCTTCCATAAACACGGTTTTAACAATGAGTCCGTAAGTGACTGTGGAGGCCAATTCTGGATCCGCACGTCCTTCCACAGTGGGGAAATTAGTTTCCAGGTGGGAGTTGATCACTGTGTGGATTTGTCAAGCGTGCCTTCCTCCTAGCACGTTTCTCCCTTGCGTCCTGAGTTCGAGTGTCTTCAAAGCCCATGACACCTTTGGTAAAGGCTGTTCTCCAACTGGAGCGCTCGCAGGCCAGTGTTTCCCAGTTGTCAGTGTTTATACTACATTTTTTTAAGATTTGCCTTGAGACTGTCTTTAAATCTCTTTTGCTGACCACCAGCATTATGCTTTCCATTTTTAAGTTCAAAATAGAGTAGTTGCTTTGGAAGACGATAATCAGGCATCTGCATAACATGACCAGTCCAACAAAGTTGATGTTGAAGAATCATTGCTTCAACACTGGTGATCTTTGCTTCTTCCAGTACACTGATATTAGTTCACCTGTCTTCCCAAGTGATGTGTAAATTTTTTTGGAGTGTGTGTGTGTGTACATGTGACATTCTTTCAAACAATGAACCTCCCAACTTGAGAGGCAGATTTGCCCAATACCATGCCATTCAACTTTTCTAACCCTGGGTCTCATCTTTCATCCAACAATCCACAGATGATTTAATATTTTATTATATTAATTCCACTTTATTTGTTGCTTTCTGGCTCTTCTCTCTGGTTTTCCGCTACTTTCATCCTTTTGCAACCAAGAAAGGATTTTCACAACACACTAAAATGCGAGAATTCAGCAGAAATAATATGAGCACACACACGCCTTAAAAATTGTTCATGGGTGTGTTTATCTTTTGCATCTCCACTTCACCATGAAAATAATGGCTGAAACTTTTAGTTGATTGGGTTAAAAAGATGCCCCCGTTTAATAGGGAAGGAGAGCCTTTTTTCCTTTTTAAATTTGTAAAATTATGTTTAATAAAAGTTCCCCCTTCAAAGAAAGCTAGTAAAATATCATGGGTAGCAGATAAGGATGTAAGAAAGAATAATTTTCCATTCTGCCATGTATTATTATTATTATTATTATTATTATTACTTTGTTTATATCCCAGCTTACAAATAAAAACAAGAATAGATAATAACATATTGAAAAAACAATCATTAAGAAATAAATAAGCATTTATAGAAATATATGTGTGTGTGTATGCTTATGAGTGAAAATGTGTGTGTGCATGTGTGCGCACGTGTGCGTATAAATCTATTAAAGCCATTCAAATAATTACAATATACAGATTAGCACCAGCCCTTTCATTAAAAGGAGTCAGTTCCCAAAAGCCTGTTGAAACAAGAAAGTTTTCAGCTGGTGGTGGAAGGACAACAAGGAGGGAGCCAGTCTAACTTGTCTAGCGACGGAGTTCCAAGTTCTGGGAGCAGCCCATTATGTGATAGTTTGTGGTCTGAAAGCAACAACAGCAAATACTGAATGCATTCACTGGATTGATTTCCATATCAGACAGGGGACAAATAAGTGAACTTTGGCAATTTTCACTCCTGTTTCCATTTTCATCAGAATTCTCTGACATTCCTAGCGGCAGGTGTTTTTTCACAAGAGGCATCCCTCCCATCTCTCTCTCTCTCTCTCTCTCTCTCTCACACACACACACACACACATAAATACAAATGCAGATTGCGCCTGCTATGACAGATGTGCATTTTTCTTCAGATAAATTGTTTTATTTGTATGCAAAGTTATGCATAGTCAATACAGTAATTGATCTCTTTAAACTCATTTGCACTTGGTGACACTGACACATGGCAGAGAGCAGGCCAATAGCTCTTTCTTCCAGCTAGTTACCACACTTGAACGGAGAGTGTGGTATCAGGAAGAGCCTTACGCACACAACTTAAAATTCATCTCCTCCTTCCCCTCATCCTCCTATTTTGCCTTTGCAGCATCTTAATTTCAGCTCCCATGCAAATGAATGGAATGTATTACACATAGGGTAATGGCCTCATTTTCTACCTTCGAATTTGACGCTCTCAACATCTTTTCCCCAACCCATACACCTGAATGGAGCTCCGTTATTTTGTATGGAACTGGTTGCTCACTGGGACAAAACAGTGTGAGAATATAACACCAATCCTGGCCTGACTGCACCGGCTGCCAATTAGTTTCCACGCCCAAGGCAAAGTGCTCTTTTGAACTATAATGCCTTAAGCGGCTCAGGACTGCAATACCTCAAGGACCGCTTCTCCCCATATGAACTGACCAGGACCCTGCAATCATCATCTGAGGCCCTTCTTCATGAGCCTCTTCCATGAGAGGTCTTCTGTTGTGTCTCATTGTTTGTGGAATGTTCTCCCCAAGGAGGCTTGCCTGGAACCTTCACTGCATATCTTTAGGCACTAGGCAAAAACTTTTATCTCAGCCCTTTGGCTAATTAAACAATCTATGGCCTTTTATACTGGGGGGGGGAGGCATTGTTTTGTTATCTTATGTATTTTTGTGTTTTTATAATGTAAAATGCCCTCTGATTCTTGGATGAAATTTAAAAAACAAGCAAACAAGCAGGAAAAAGAGGCTAGAGGTCAGGGCAAAAATTGATGAAGGGGAAGCCATGCTTCCATCCATCCATCCATCCATCCATCCATCCATCCATTTATTTATTTATTTAGCTCCTTCAGCAAGTCAATTCTTCCCCTGTTGAATATTATGGAGGCGTATTTGTTCTGTTATATTCAATAACAGGTGCTTAAAAGACACACACCCACCCCATAGCTGTCAATGTTTCCCTTTTTTTAAGGGAAATCCCCTTATTCCGAATAGGATTCCTCGCAAGAAAAGGGAAAAGTTGACAGCTATGACACACACACACACACACACACATGCCTCCCTATTATTTTTCAGTTCAAATTTAATTTGAAATGGAGACAGGGGAGTGAAATGTGGAACTTAGAAGCTTATCTCTTTTTTGAGGTGGGCTTTTATGACACACACACACACACACACACACACACACACACAGTTCTTTTCTGAGTCTGGCTCAGGAGAACTTCATCAGTTTCTGTAATGTATAAATTTCCCCTTTCTTCCATCAGCTGTAAAACAAGCAGTGTGTGAATTATGAAGTGGGAGAGTGGTCTGCTTTTTCAGACCTGAATATTTTAAAAGGTGAAGCAGCAACTCCTCCTGTTGTACCAAGGAGGGAGGGATGCGGAAAAACCAAACCCCTGTAAGTTGTTGTTCTTGAGGATATTACTGCAAAGTCTATGATATCCTGGCTTCCCTGGCTTCTTTCCAAACAAGATTTCGATTAAACGGGGTGTGTAAATATCAGAGCTTTTTAGAAAACAGCAACACTATTACATTATTCAATTATTTTGCACATCCTCTTAAAACACACACACACACACACACACACACACACACTCATGCACAATTATGGCCTGATGTGTTTGGGAATACACGTAGGGAATTTTCCTTCAAGTCAGCACAGAACATTAATTTATGACTATTTTTCAAACTCTGCTGAAGTAAGAGGGTAATAGCTTTCGGTTGATTTGCTTTCTATAACCTGTCACTCATTGGTGTGTACCTGACAAGACTGCAGACAATATTCCAATCATAAGGCCAATTTATCCAGGACAGTGAAGAATATCAGCCAGAGATAAAAGGACTTCCCTCCCCCATCTTTTCAGGGCTTGGCAGAACGTTAATACAACATCTGCTTTTTTGTTTTTTAAAACCCCTCATAGCCAGATGTTCTTTACCCATGGTGGGGGGGAGCTATTGCATTGTTGGCTCCTGCCTCAGTTCTTCAGTAGAACAAGAGGTGTTATGATCATCAACACCTAAATATCCAGGTTGTTCAATCACATCTGCAATTTAAAATCCTGACAGAGTTACATATGAGACTAGAGGTCTTTTTTTTACTATGCTTAGATGAGCTTCACCCTTTCTGCAAAGTTTGTAGCACATTATATGATAGTCATCAGTGACAAAACTTGTCACACAGGAAGGCTAAGATTTTTCCTGTTGCCCAAATTTAGACCTTAAAGGTAAGGGTAAAGGGCCACTGACTATTAAGTCCAATCACAAACGACTCTGGGGTTGCAGTGTTCATCTCACTTTACTGGCTGAGGAAGCCGGGGTTTGTCCACTTCCACAGACAGTTTTTCCGGGTCATGTGGCCAGCATGGCTAAGTCGCTTCTGGCAAAAGCAGAGCAGTGCACGGAAACGCCGTTTACCTTCCCACCAGAGCGGTACCTATTTATCTACTTGCACTTTGACGTGCTTTTGAACTGCTAGGTTGGCAGGAGCTGGGACCAAGCAACGGGAGCTCACCCCGTTGTGGGGATTCGAACTGCCAACCTTCCGATCAGCAAGCCCTAGGCTCAGTAGTTTAGACCACAGCGCCACCTGCGTACCCATTTAGACTTTAGGACTACAGAAATATGTATTGCTCTGTTCTAAGTGATGGAAAAAGTTAAAAAGTAAACTACAAAAGTCAGCTTTAGTAGGTGCCAGCAGTGGTTTGGAATTCTGCCGTTTTTTATTCCTTTGTGTAAGCTCTTCCAGCTAATTATTCAGAGTCAATTCATCCCTACTTTTGCACACCAAGAATGATTTTCTCCTAATAGTGCAAACCATGTGTTACCTATCTACTCTCTTTTCACATTTTTCTCTGCAGCTTTTAAAGAAACATCTGAATAGAACTGACTGCAAAATGCAAGAGGAATATGACACCACTTTGCATATACTTAAAAGTATCCTTAGTTCTGTCCAGCACTGCTAAATAATATTCTGTTTTATGCTTCGTGACAATATGTCATTTCCTTGAGCAGTTTTATTAAGCCAAAATAAATTCCTCCGTCCCTGGTTCCTAAAGAGTCATCTGTTTGCTCTATACCCAAAGTCAGACTGGCCTTTTGCCTGGTGCTTGGTTTTTTCCAAAATCTACTGTTCAGGGCCCACCATCTGGAAGCAAATCCTGCAGTGCCCATGTTTGACAGAAACTCATTTAAGCTTAAGCTCACACTTAACATAGAAAATCTATTCAAGGTGGCTGCCTATGTTCTCTCTGGCAGTTAACCCAAAGTTAACCATCTTTATTCTGCCGTTGTTCTCAGTGAAAGACCAGTTAATGTGGCATGAGGGGGGCAGAAACACACATTTATTAGTGTGTTTATTAGTTGGAAAGTTCTTCCTGAGGTTTAGTTGGAAGTGCGAGCGAGCAAATCATTAAAACAAATCTGATAATTTCTAGCCAGTATATATTTTAACAGCAAGCAAAGAAGTTCGTTATTCCTCCTACACACACTTAAAACTGCCATTTTAATTGTGATCAGTGGGTACTACATAAAGACCTGAGCATAAGGGGGGGGGCGTGTTTCCCCTTCTCTTCTGTAAAGGGAAATGGTGATTGCTTATGGCTCACACATGGTGATTTTTCACTGTGCACACCAAGTAGTCTCCTTCTCGTGAAAAAGCATCTGCTAGCACCTAAGTTTTACATACGCATACAAAACAGTGGATCACTGCCAATGCATAATATCTTTGCTATACATCTCATCACAAATGCCTCCCTAGGGATGCTTGACCGCCCCAACCATAGCAGGGAAAAACTTTCCTGATTGGAAAATTGCCTCTGCCTAGTGGGATGCTCCAACCAAGTGTCTTTTGGGGGTTAAAGTAAGTATGGGCATTTGCCATATGCATTCAATAAAAATCTCTTTATCATATTCCCACACTTGCACTCCATTCATTCTATTAGCTAACAAAATATTGACTTAGTTAGCAATAAACACAAGATGTTATATGGTTCTTTTAAACTGCCTTGTGGTGGGAACGTCCCCAAAGGTAGTATATAAATGCCGTAATATATTTATAAAAAAAATAATCTAACAAGCCACAATCCCACTATAGACACGTTAAAATTATGTTCACAACCCCCTGCAAGCTTCAAATGTAAGATTTCTCATGCAATGAAGAGGGAAGGGAACTCTCTAACCTAAGCCGTAAATAAAGGCAAGCTACAAACTGAAAGCAGAACATATCACCGAACTGCAGAAAATGAGCTTGCAATAAAACCCCAAACATATGTTTATCTGTAAGCACAGTTTCAAGTCACAAAAGAAAGTTATTAAAACATATGCTTAAGCGCACTACTGAAATGGAGCTTTAAAACAGCATAATTGCTGGCAGTAATTTAATTCTTCAGACTCCCGACCTCATTCTGAAGAAATATAAACAAACTGCACAGGTGCTTAATGTAACAGTTCAAGCAGTGAAAATTAGTATTCAGTATAGTTTACAATGAAATTGCTAATCTGAACAAAGGTTTGAGCCAATTCTCTTTCACACAGCAGAAAAGAGAGCAGAGTTTCACATCTGCAGTGAATTTCTCACATACAGCAACACACTGTGATCTTCATATGGTAACATAAAGACATGTTGCTATAAACAGGGAGAGCCTTTGTCCCAGTACAAGCCATGATGCCTCCACTATTCATACAAGGTGTTGTATAGCAGAAACTCTGTATGGGATTTCATGCAGCTATGCAACGGAACTGACACTCCTCAAGGGAGCTGCATTATATAAGACTTTTTCCATCCTAGACAGAGCAAGTTATAGCAGCTCAACCCCACTTCCCTGCCTCTGAAGATTTCAGTAGAACTTACTACCTGGTAGAAGTTGGCCAAAGGAGAGATCAAGGGCATGAAAAGCCCTAGCACCGTATGGGTAGAATGTAATTTCTGTTCCTTTATTAGACATTTTGTGTTTGTTTGTTTGTTTGTTTGTTTGTTTTTATTGCAACAATATTTTGTATCCTGCTTTGCATGTCTCTTAGGGCTATAGAGCATCAACAAACTAAGGCCTGTGGGCCGGATCAGGCCCAATTGCCTTCTGGATCCGGCCTGTGGACGGTCCAGGAATTGCCGCGTGGATTGCCAGCCCGCGTGTTCTTTCCCTCTCCCTCCCTCTCTGTCACACGACGGTGGCGGCAGCTCCTCCCTCCCTCCTCCTGGCTTCTCCCTGCCCTGTCTAGAGGAGGAAGGGGGCTGGGCTTTATTGGTGCTAGCCCCTCTCGGGAGTCCTTTTGCGCACCGCTCATCGTTTCTCCGCCGGCGCTGGCGCCAGCCAGACACAGGAGCCGCGCTTGGCTGAGTGCCGCTCTCAAGCGAGTGCCATTTAAAGCAGCCCCTCTCCGGAACACTTTTGCATGCCGCTCATTGTCCCTCCACCGCCGCCACCAGCCCCTGCTGCTCGCAAGACACAGGTAAGCAGCCACCGGGGCTCGTGGCGCTCTTGCATCATTATTTTCTTTTCAAAATATAGTCCGGCCTCCCACAAGGTCTGGGGGACAGTGGACCGGCCCCCTGCTGAAAAAGTTTGCTGACCCCTGCTATAGAGCATGAAGGGATAGCCAGCCAAGTGCTTCTGCTAGTGCAGGGACTATTGGCTGCACGAAGGAACTTCCCTCCCTCTCCACTTCCTGTGCATCCCTTAAATCTGTTCCAGGTGGTTGTTTCCCCCCCTCCCAATCCTTCATAGCAGTTATAGAGAGGGCACAGGGGCACACAGGGAGAGGGAGAACTTTCATTGCACAAGTGAATATCCTCATGCTAGCGAACATTGGATACCACACTGGTATTCAAAATAAACAAACTGCAACAATAAGAGGCACATATTTTATTAACTATTTATCATGTAATTCACTCTTTTTGTTTTTGTTTTTCCCCAAGGTGTTCTTTTGATTGGAACAAATAAGGCCATACAGATTCTGACCCTGAGGAAGAGGCATCAGCTTGAAAACACAAAGGCAACCCAATTTCCTAATAAATAGTTAACAACAGCAATGGCTCATATATTTCTGTGTTTTCTTGCAGAATCAGACCTTCTGATTTGCGCCCCCATTGCCATGCTTTGGCCGCACATAAGGCTGTCATGTGAACGCAAAAGGAGCTGCTGTGTAGCAGACCACTCATATACTGGATATCATAGCATTCTGGCATACAGCCTGTTCAAAGGGTTGTCATTTATTACTAGCAACCAAATGCCTTGAGGCCGAGATAAGCGAGGAAAGGTGTGGCAAGACAATTCTACCTGGGGGAAAACTAAACAAAGTAGCCTAAGACATGTTTTCGTCATCATTTATTACAGAATGATGATGATGATGATGATAAAAATATAGCAGTGATCTTTCTCCAACACTGTCATTTCCTTGTAAATGAAATCTTGAAAATATACTCCCATGTGGACATACATACATTTGATCACAGTGTAAAATGGTGAGCCTATGTGTTTGTGTTGGTGTGTGTAGTTCCTCTTCTAGGCCAGCTCTTGGCATTCTTGAGTAGTAGCCAGGGGCCCAGACTCTCAGTCAGCAAAGACCACTGTTGATGCCTGTTGTCAGCCTCCCGCAATATATATATTTCTGTCCTAGTATTATAAGCAGATGACTGGACCTGGCCGCCATTTTAATTTCCCACAGTGCCTGGAGCCATTTTAATTTCCCACAGTGCC